CCAGGACAGGGGGAGCCTCTTAGCGATCCTGCAAGATATAGGCGATTGGTTGGTAAATTAAATTACCCCACAGTGACTAGACCTGACATTTCCTTTCGTGTGAGTGTTGTGAGTCAGTTTATGGATTCTCCGTATGATAGTCATTGGGATGCAGTTGTCCGCATTCTTCGGTATATAAAATCAGCTCCAGGCAAAGGCTTATTGTTTGAGGATCGAGGCCATGAGCAGATCGTTGGATACTCAGTTGCTGATTGGGCAGGATCACCTTCTGATAGACGTTCTACGTCTGGATATTGTGTCTTAGTAGGAGGAAATTTGGTGTCTTGGAAGAGCAAGAAACAAAATATGGTTGCTCGGTCTAGTGCAGAAGCAGAATATCGAGCAATGGCTATGGCGACATGTGAGCTAATTTGGATCAAACAGTTGCTCAAGGAGTTGAAATTTGGTGAGATTAGTTAGGTGGGACTTGTGTGTGATAATCAAGCTGCTCTTCATATTGCGTCAAATCCAGTGTTCCATGAGAGAACTAAACACATCAGATTGACTGTCACTTTGTTAGAGAAAAGATACTCTCGGGAGATATTGCTACAAAATTTGTGAAGTCGAATGATCAGCTTGCTGATATTTTCACCAAGTCCCTCACCGGTCCTCGTATTAGTTATATATGTAACAAGCTCGGTACATATGATTTATATGCACCAGCTTGAGGGGGAGTGTTAGTTTGATAGTTAAATAGTAGTAAATAACTCTAATCCCATATGTATTAGGAGTAGGACATGTATTATATATATAGGCTCATTGTATCATTGTCATATTTAATCAATAATATTTTCTCCCGTACTTTCTCACAGCCTCCTCATTACCAAACACGATAATGTAATCTCTCAAACTGTCACATTGTCCGGGCGATTTAATATAATTCACCATGACATTAATATAATTCATGTTCTATGTCATGGTGGAATCTTTTCAAAATCTACATAGTCCATCACCTGAATGCTAATGGAACCTATTACTCGAACACATACCAACTACGGAGTTCGAGAAGAATTCTTGTTGACAAAATAATGGCATCAATACAAATCCAAACTTGCCAAAGGAAACTTCAAGTTCATGACCTGGTCGTATATATATTGAAGCTGGATTACCTTGGGTTATAGTAGTCCTTCCCAGGCCAAATAGAAGGAGGTGGATCAGCCAAGTTGTGTTCTCTTGTGTCATAACGGCCAAAACATAAATCTAGACCTCCAATATAACAAATCTTGTTGTCTACAATGACAATCTTTTCATGGTGCGACCTGCATGTGGCAAGCACGTTTTAGTTTAATAAACTTATCAAGTAGAAGGAAAAAAGAATATAGAGCGTAGATCTGATGGAAACTCCATTCTATATCATGATTGCATCAGAGTTTATGTTGTATAAAAAAATTAACTGCTTACCACAAGTAGATCCCTGCGGAGAAATGGTTCGGATATCGCAGGACTTTAACATTTTTGTGAATTTTCAGAAGCTTTCTTTTACTGTATAAACTGTTAATCTTTAAAGCAATAGAAACCTCCTTGTAGAGAAGAATATAAATCTGCATAACATATATTTAGAAGTTAGATTCCATCTTAAAATTCATAATGGAAGATCTGTAGAAAAAGCACATCCCTTGGTATCCTCCTTCTAACTTAAAGAAATCTCATAGCGAACACTGGAAAAGAGTAAGCATGATCTCTTCTTTTATAAGAACAAGAGAAGTCAAGATCATTATCAAGCGAAATATGGTCAACCATTTATTGCACCCATTACCATCTACCTTTTCTCTGGTCAAATAACACATAAAGTACTTATTTACTTTTTGAATGTAGAATATAATAACAGATACTACTTTCTCTGGAAAAAATTAAAGAAGGAAAATACACAGACATTTGCTATTAACTTCTCGATATACCATCTTTTTAAGATTAAGCAAATGGCAATTGTTGACTATCTCCGCAAGATACTCAAGTCGATCCATTATATTCGTTATAACTTCAAAAAGCAAGTAAAGCACTAAAAGCCTTAGTATCAGCAGAATGCATAGTAAAATCATTTGGTACAGCTTGTTACATATTATACATTCTAGGTTCATTGTGTCTCCGTTAAAAACAATGTGTCTAGACACAGACAAAATGCTCGGTTCCTAATCTTTATCACAAGTGACTGAGCATATTGATTTGAGTAATATCTCTCATCAAAAGTGTGACTTATAAGACTGTGGGCGAGTATCACAGAATAAGAATTATACTTGCAAAATTCTATTCAATTATTTGTAAAGTCAAAACATGTTAGAAGAGATCAGTTGCATATGCACCTGGACCCCTTCTTTGGCTTTAGCCTCAAGTAATGCATCAAGTCTAGATGAGCTATGGTTGTCAAATGGACGTCTCAAGTACAGTTCTGGGCAAAGCCACCATCCAGTTATATAGATCTGCATAAAAATCAAATTAGGTGGAACTATCTGCAGCAAGAAAATATTTGATTGAGAGTAACAAGTTGAGAGATCAACCTCAGATTTTGCACTCTCTATTGAAGAAGCAATTGCCTCAAATGCTGCCTTACCATCTATAAACCACTGAGCTTGAGTGGCATCATCATTTGTCCCCCTCAATGGAGCAAAAGAACCAAAGCGGTGAGGGTTACACCAACCCTCCGGAGGTTTAAGAACAGCATCATTGATTGCAGATATCCAATCATCGACTTTGGCATTGCTCGTGGTTCTAAACTTTACGATGCGGTTCCCACAACAAACCTTTCAGACATTACAACTGTCAGTTTTATGTAAAAGGAAAAAAAACAAGATGCACTCGTTGAGAAGTAAGTTCACTGATTATGAGCTAACTTAATAAATACAGAAAGATGTAATTGATGCACTCAACATGTAACTTCAACCATACCCAGAAAAGAAAGTTGGCCTAACTCCAGTTTGTTTGATGAAGTTGAATAGTAAAAAATCTTTGGCCGATATTTTGTCACACTAATCCATTATGAATTTATTTGGTTGGGAGTGTAGTAACAGAAAATGGATTTCCCAAGAGAATGGCAAAGGTACGTCGAGGAAAAAAGTGATTTTCCCACAAATCTTGGTTAACCAAGGAGTTACTGGACAGTTACCAGAAAATCCATTAGCTTGACTAAATTTATTTCGCAGTTTTCCTGAATCAAACTTCCTAAGAGTAGTAGTAGAACTTTCAATGCATAAACTTGAATGGTGGAATTATGGGAAGAAAGAAGTAAACAGTGCAAATTGTGAAACAAGCTCAATCATTGCCTTATGTTATAATGCAGAGCTGATTGAATCTAAATTATTTATAATCTCCATTCCTGCTGACAAATTCCTTTTTAAGTAACTTACTGGTCCAGGGACAGAACATCTAATTGATTAACTTAAACTAGTACTTCAGTAAGTGTCATGAAATCACTTGCTTGACTTTCAAAAACTAGATAACTCTCAGCTTCAGGCATATTCAGGTGAGCGTGGCACGATGAGCATTGAGCACCCAAAATACACAACTTTGTTGCCCATAGATGACTTGTGTTTTTAATCACAAAATTAGCACTGTGTAGTAGTAGAGCACTCATAAAATGAACAAGTAACCAAGAATTAAGAAATTGTAATGGTTGAAAATTGAGATTAGACAGTTTGAATGGAAGCAGACCTTAAATGCATATCGCAAAGGATTTTTTTCTCTTATTTCCTCTGCTAAGTATACTGGATTCTCTCCCTTCTCATTAGACGTTGGAAGCACATCGAACACAATAATGTCCAGTAATTTTGCATCAAAAGGATTGTTTAGTAAGGCCAAGTAACCAGGTTTTAAAACAGCCCAGACCTGCATAACATAGTATGAATAGTTAAGACAAGGAAGCAAAAATAAGTTAAGAGAGTCAACCACTGTGGAGGACACAACATACCCAGATAACACTTGCTTCACAGACACGTTGATGATTCAGGAGAGCACAAAAGATAAAAGATCGCCTTAGCCTTACACTTATACCCAATTGGTGTCTGCTAGTCACAATTTTTTTCATCAAAAGTACAACTCTCAATTTTCAGTTAACAAATGTTCACTCATGCAGCGTTAAATAATGTGTTAATCCAACTATTGGGATTTTCTCAATTGGACATGGACAAATTGGTACTGAAAGTGTACAATGTTAGTAGATGCAGAATCTTAGTCAGATAGAACATGATAACAACCACGGAACCATGGAGACCCAGGACCTGAAGGTTGCCAAGAGGAGTTCTTAAAATGCATGTGTGGCTATCTCTCTTTAGTGTCTGACCACCTCCACTCATTCATGACATTCCTCATTCACTATGTTACTTTGAGTTCAAAGGTAACACGAGTGATTTTCAGTCTTGTTCTTAACAAAACAAGTGTCAATTCATCTTGTCAGTAAAGGGGGAGTATGCTTTTCAGGTTTCTATATTTGTGTCTATCTGGAAGGAAATTGAGGAAGGGATACATTCTAAATGTAATAACATTTCTCGAATCTGAACGCAACATAAAATGAGGTATGTCCATCTTCATGCAAGAACAAAATCAGCTCTTCTACCGTACCTCTGTAAGCTAGTACGTGTCAATAAATAGACTTTCAGAGAGACAGAAAACCTTATGTGCATAAAAGTTTTTGTATAGTGTGCATTCACATATATCCACAAATGTTGTCAGCAGACTACTATGGTGATTGTTTACCTTTTGCCACTTGCTCTTGCAACAGCCAGACCAATAACATATGCAACATCCCGCATCCTCCTCGTCTTTGGGAACTTTCAACAAATGCTTAACCATTACGTAATTTTCCTTGAGCTTTGGGCCATATTCTGGTAAGAATGATAACTTGGATACCTCCAAAAACTTGCACACCTAAAGTTTAAGAATTCTCTATATGTCACAACCAAGGAAAATAAGCATTAACAGCAGAAAGTCTCAAAGAACCAAATATACTGTTTCTTAACTATGAATACCAAAATATACTGTTTCTTAACTATGAATACCAAAAATTGCTCCCCCCTCCCCCCCAGGTGGGTGGGGAGGGGGAGATAATTCCAGATTCAGGCAATAGAGAAATGTATCATCACTTAGAGATAGTAGCTAATCCAAAGGAAGTATATGACGTAATAACTTGCATAGACATGTAAGTTGTTCCCATGCTAAATTCAAGATTCAGGCATAATAACTTGTATTAACATGTAATTTCAGAGATTAACTAGTCTACGGCCTCCAAGATGGCAGTGAGTACCCCTGCCAACAGTTTACTTTTGCAACAAATGTCAATATCCCAGACAAACTATTCTAGTCAAAAGGTATCTGTCTAAGAACAAACTACAGGAGATTGAAGCAGAATACAGTACACACCTCTCGAGAATTTACAATGTCCAAATTCCCCAAAAAATGATTCAGATACTTTTGCATAGCAATTTTCCCTTTTTCTGTAATGGTTTGCTGCCTGCCCAATGCTGGACGAATGATTGATAAAGCAGCCTGGGATGGAACATACCTGCAAATAACCCATGGGCAAGAATCATATATGCTATTTGCAGAACGTATGCAAGGTCCCACCTGCTAAGCATAACAATATTCACACAGAAACCTTTTGACACCTGTTTCTAATACTATCTTCACTGTAAATTTGCACAGCACCATCATCGGGTTCAGCATCATCATGTATGACAGATGTTTGTTCTCCTATACCAATGTGGTGAAGCCATTCTTTAACCTTTTGACAAAGGATTTGAGAATGAGACAGTAAGACTCTTAGACAGTTAGCATTATTATACTCATAGAATGAAGAAATAAAGAAGGCGCAGAAACGTCTCATATTTGTGAAAGCAAAGAGAGAGATGAAACCTGCTCTTGTTTTTCATGGAGTTCCTCAATTATTGCACGTTTCCTCAATGCAAAGTGCAAATAAATAACTTGTGAGGCCTTCTTCACTAAGCGCCACTTGAACTGCTTATTGGCAAAGTAAAAGAGGAGATGGTCATGTAATGCGAACAAAAATGATAATGTGAATACGAGATTTTTTTCTAGAAACTAAAGTTTATTGACTAGCTGTTATCAGGGAATGCACTAATGGAAGAAAGAATACAACAACGACAACAACCCAGTAAAATCCCACAAGTGGGGCCTGGGGAGGGTAGAGTGTAATGGAGGAAGAATCAAATCTACATTTAAATAAATACTTCACAAAAAACGAGTTCCAAAATGTTAACTGCTCACTCTTTTCATTATTTTAGCATAAAGACTGATAGACAACTAAAGGCTTAGCTAGCAGAAGAGGCATTCTTGAATAGGGTCGCCCAAAACTTTATTCTGGAAAGGAATATTTGCTAGTAACTTAATTATTGAACTTCAATACACCAAGTATCATAGGCCTAACTAATTAGTTTCCATATCCATACATGCCATAGTTTATTAAATCCGACATTCCCACGTCACAAAGTTATCTGATGACTCAGTATATATATATATATATTGCCATGGTCCCTTCCACCAGAAAAAATTGATCGCATTTTTTTGTCACTTTTCATCATAACCACAACAACCTGTCTTAAAAGTATAGATGATGCCCATTTCAATAACTATACCATTACAAAATGATACGCTAATCCACATGTTGTTCCCAATCACTAAGGAAAAATACTGTACCAATATGCCCATTTAAACACCACCTAGTAGTAAAATAAATCGACAAATATATATTCTAAACGCTTTTCCCAACTTAGACCACAATGATCGCATTTTCTTAATCCAATTAAACCGAACTGCTTCATACACGAGATTTTAAAAAATCATTGTAAAATTGTGTACTCCCTCCGTTCCATTTTACTAGTCATGTTTTCATTTGGCAGGGCCCTTAAGAAAACATTAATTAAAAGAATAATTCGACTAAGTTAACCTTACTTATTCTTTGATTTCAATTTAAGACTACTTCTTGCTTTCACCGCATTGATCTCTTGCCACATTTATTAAAGGTAAAGTTGGAAAAAAAAAAGTATCTATTCTCTGTTGTTTTTCTAAAACGACAAGAAATTTGGAACAACTAGTTTTTAGTAAAACCTGGCAAGTAAAACGAAGGAAGTGCTTCCTTATTCATGGATTATAACAACTACAATATTAAATTAAATGAAAAGAAAAGCAGAAACACAAAGTTCACGACATTCAGAGCTATACATAATAACTACTCCTAGTATTTAAAGTAAAAGACATGATTAAAAGAACATGCACGCCGGCATTAAATAGGAATTAAGATTAAAAAGAGTCCACACCTGCTTGTACTGGACTTCAATTGTGTATGACAAAAGCAAAGGGCTTATATCACTAGCATCTGCTCTTGACACCGCAATGATAGTCGCTTTGGGCAATTCCTCAAAGATTGTCGCCGGCTCGGCGTAGTAACGAAGTGAATGCATCGATGACATTGCCGACGCCGGCGCGTTTTCTATGAGTTTCTCCGTCGACATTGCTACTTCTATTGCTACTTCAACTTGAATTAATTTCAAATTATCCAATCATAAGAAACTCCTTTGGCATTTAAAGAACACAGAAGTTGTACGAATATTCTCTTATACGGATAGTATATTAAAAATTTGAAGCTGCAGAACAGAAAGAGAGTTTAAGAAAGTTATTTCGTCTTTCGTTTTTCTAACGGAAGCAAAAAGGCGTAATATATATAGTTGGAGAACAAGTGGCGCAAGTTAGGGAAGGGTGACAGGTGAGTTCATGTATTTCGCGTGAAGCTCTCTTGTGATGGAGACACGTGGATGTAGGTTTTGGTGGAGTGGGGTCAGTGTATACGTGGTAAGTGTTTATTCGTTTGCGGCAATTGTTTTTGGTGCTATATTGCAATTCGGAAACTGATGCTGTCATGTATTATATTGGGATTATTTTGTTGTGTGCTAATATTATACTCCCTCCGGTCCGGTCCAAAATAAGTGATTTTTTGGTCTTTTTCTTGTGGTCCAAAATAAGTGGTTTTTTCAAATTTTAAGAATAAATTAATTATTTTTTTTCCTACATTGTCCTTGGAGTAAATAGTGTTGGAATATGTGTTAGGAGTGTTTATGTGAGATAATAAAGGTTAATATGGTCAATTTCATTGCTAATTAATGTTAAAAGGTGGATTTCTTAATTTGTGTGAAAACATCCAAAAAATCACTTATTTTGTGACCGGAGGGAGTAGATAGTTGATCCTAACCATGACAAAATGACAGAAATACCCCCATAGGATGTGTGATTAATAGCCTGTTTGACCAAGTTTTTCTTTGAGCCAAAAGCATTTTTTTCTGCCAAAAGTGCTTTTTTCCAAAAGTTGAGCTGTTTGGCTAAGCTTTTAGAAGGAAAAAAATATATTTTTGAAGAGAAACAGAAGCAGCTTTTGAGAAGCAGAAAAAAGTAGTTTCTCTCCAAAAGCATTTTTTTGAGACACTTTTGAAAAAAATACACTTACAAGCCTTTTTTAAAAGTTTGACCAAATAGTAATTACTGTTCAAAAGTACTTTTTAATTTAATTAGCCAAACACAAACTGTTTATCATCAAAAAAAATTTTAAATGTAATAGTGCAGAATCATAAGTGATGTTTTACTTGCACGTTATATTTTGTTTTTTGTTGTACATTTTGATAAGGCAGCAAAAACAAGGAACTTTCAATTTTCCTTTCGTTTCTTTTTTCACTTATGAACTTTATGCCATTGTACGTCCATAATAATTTCTTTTTTTTTTTATTTTTTTTTTTTT